GGTGGGGCGGGGCTGCACGGGGCGGGGCGGGGCTCCCCGGGGTGGGGCGGGGCTGCACGCGGCCGGGCGGGGCTGCACGCGGCGGGGCGGGGCTGCACGCGGCGGGGCGGGGTCAGCCCCAGGCGCCGGCGAGACCGCATTTCCTGGCGCAGCCGGCAGAGGGCAAGCGACCATCGCCCAGGACAGCGACGCAAACCCGGGCCGGGAGGAGGCCAGGGCGGGGGTCTGGGGGCGGCGCCGCGACCCCACGGTCCTGTAGCTGCCCGGGTGCCAGTGAGTGGCTGGCACTGCGCTGACGCCGTCCTGCATTTTCTGTCCCTCGACTCCCAAATAAAGAGCACGTTCGCTTTGCGCACGAGGGGTGTGTCTGTCTGGGCTGGAGTCTGGGTCCCCTGTGCAGCGGCTCTACCCACGGACTCATCCCAACCGTGGGGGAGGGGGTTGGGGTCAGAGCCCGGCAGCAGGAGCCCCTGTGCCTCAGAGGGCAGGACAAGCCCAGGTGAGGGCTGGGGGGCTCCACCGCACAGCCCAGCGTGTCCACGGACGGCGTGGCCAGCCCAGAGCCCGGCCACCTCGCTCCCCTCCCGCGCCTCTCCCCGTCCCCCACCAGGGCCAGCTCCTCCATCCTTTCTCCAGGGTCTTGGGGCCTTGGGACATCCTTTGAGACCACTGCATCTCCCCACCTTCTCCTGCACCTCCAGGACCCCGGCTTCAACCTGCACACCCTTCTAGACTGGGCACGCGCTCCGCCCAAAGCTCCTCCCACTGCGGGCGCACCTGCTGGGGTGATTCTCCAGGTGGGCCCCGCTGTCCCCGACATTTGAGCCCAGGACCCCCAGAGTCAGCTGGGCAGATCTGCAGGGGTCCCTCCTGCACCCTCCCCGGGGCTGGGGCCCACCCGGAGAGCATGTGGGAGGGGGTGCCGTCTCCAAGATCCAGGCCCACAGGGCTCTGGTCCCAGCCTGGAGGGGCCGGGGAGGTAACAGGTACAAGCCCCCTGCCTCAACCACCCACTCGGACACCCACCTGGGCAGCTCTCTGAGCTGGGTGGGGTCAGCAGGTGGAAGTTGCTGCTGGGGGTGCTGAGAGGAGAGTGGGGTGCCTTTCACGTGGGGCTAGCAGACCTCTCTCCCCCACCTGCTGACGCCTCCTGGTCATGGCCCACCAGGTGGCCATGCCTGCATGGAGAGAAATCTGGGTGAAGCTGTGAGCAGGCAGGGAGGGCTTCCTGGAGGAGGGGGCCTGACTTCCACCACACAGACCAAGGCACAGGGTCTGGGAGCAGGGCTGGAGGTGTCAGGGCTGGGCCTCTTGCCTCATCTGGAGCTCACTGAGGCCTCGCCACTCACGTCCTGGACGCTCTCACCCTGGTGCCCAGTCAGGCGGCCCCTCTCCCTTGGCCCTGAGTCCTGTGGGAGGAAGAGGTGTCTGTGGCAGGGCATGTTGGTGAGGGCACCCCTGGGGGGTGGATAGACTCAGGCAGTCCCTCCCTGCTTTCTGCTTTGGGGGGAGCTGTATGTAGGCAGTGGCTAGGGCCTAGTCCATGTCAGTGACCCCTGGAGAGAGGGTACTCATCCCCATTTTGCAGATAGGACGCTGAGGCCTGGGAACGCCTGGGCCCTGCCACGTGATTCAGCCCGAAGCCTTGGCACGGCTGGGTCTTCCTGGCCTTTCTCCTGCGGCCCCGTGACCGTCCAGGAGCAGGCAGCCGCTCTGAAGTGGGAGCGCAGACGCTGACCCTGCAAGGTGGGCCCAAAAGCTTCCAGGCCCTTCTCTCCTGCGCAGCCTGTTCCAGAGAAAAACATCCCGTCGCCACGGCGACGACTGGGGCCCGGCTCTCATTCTTCGAGGTGTCATTAAATTTCACCCCGGGTGCTGTCGCCACTGGGTCCTGGCAGCCAGGAGCAGAGGAGAAGACCCAGCGTAAAGCCTCACCCGGGGGCAGCAGGCAGCTCCTGTCCTGCGCAGGAAGCTCCTCAAAGCTGCTCACGGGCACCAGACAGGTCCTGGGGCAGTGACCAGCCAGGCAACAATGAGGAACGACCTCTACTGTCCCCATGGCATGGAGGGGCCTGGAGCCAGTTAGATGCTGGTCCCTGGCATGGGGGGGCGGTGGCCTGGAGCTGGGCAGTCACTGGTGAACTCAAAGACCCCTGAGAGGTCTTCACTCCCCGCCTCCTTGGATACCATGGCCAGGGAGGGGTGGGGTGTGGGTGGGTGTCGGCCTGCTGCAGGAGGGGTGGCCTGGCACTGCCCCATCCTGCGTTCAGGGCTATGGGCGGAGCCCCGTGCCAGCCTCCGTGGGTGTGGGTGTGGGTGAGGTCCCTGATATGCCCGCTCCAGCCCCACCGGGAGCTGCTGGCTGTCACCCCCTCCGGATCGGCGGCTCGTCACGCGGCCTCTCGGGAAGTGGCCATTTAGAGGCCCGGGAGATAATGTTCCCTGCGCGCCAGCCGACACTCAGGCTTCATTATCGCCTGGCCCAGGCAGCGCTCCAGCCCTCAGGTCCTCACCAGGCTGCGGCCCCTCATCCCCTCCGGGAGGGGCTGGCTGAGGGAGAGCCGAGGGCGGGGGCACGGAGAAGGGGCCGGACAGCACCCAGCCAGCCGCTGCTCTGAGCACGAGGCGGCTTCAATGCCGTCAGGCCTCACATGCACTTCACGGCCCGGAGGCCCTGAACCCGCTGCTCCCATGCCAGGGCGGGCGGATGCAGGGGGGCTGATGGCTGCCGCGACGCAGGTGACGCCCCGCTGAAGAGGGGCCGACACCCCCACCCTGTTTCCTGAGCCCCCACTCCCCCATGTGCAGGCCACCCACCAGGCTAGGACACTCGGGGGCCGCCTGCCTTGTGCTGATAAAGGAGCCCCAGACTCTCCAGTCTAATAAAACCCTGAACCCTGAACCCCATGGACAGAGTCCGCGCTGTTTTCTGGGTGCCATCCCAAACGCCTTACTTTAGGAAGATGGGCTGCTCCTCCTGGGAGCCCAGCGAGCCCAGGCATCCAGGAGCCCCTGTCTGCACAGCAGGTAGCTGAACTCTGGGGGGCACGAAGTTGGGGGTCTTGCCGAGGCCCCTTCCCCAGGGCCCGGCACCCCCGCTCGCCCCTCACTGGCACAGGTGCCCCTCAGCACGAGGAGGGGCAGCCCTCCTGGCCTCGCCTGGGTCACTGCTGAGTGTCCGTGGGGGGCCGGCCCCAGGGCGCCCAGCAGCAGCGCTCCCCTGTCGCCACGGTGATGCAGTGGCTGTGCATGGCCAGGGCTATTTCTGTCCAGGAGACGCGCTGTCCTGCCCCACTGAGTCACCCTCCATGCTCCCGCCCACCCCTCGGCCTCCCTCCACCCTGCTCTGTGCTTGGGGAGGCTCTGGGACCCGCCCCACACATGGGGGACTGTCAGGAACACTGCCTCTCTTTTTGGGGGCAGCTCTGCTGGCATTGGGGGCACTGAGGGGCACAGGAAGGGGACTTGGGTCCCCCTTCGTTGGACCTTAGCAGCCCCCGCCTGCCACAGGGATGTTCTGGACACTTCTGAGCTGCAGAGGTGCCCATTTCACGGGCGAGGCTGCGGCTCAGACCCAGGGAGCAGTGGGGTGTGGGCATCCGCCTGTCTTTCTCCACAAGCCCTGGGAGTCCCACGGGCTATGAGGGGGTGGCCACACAGGAGCCCCCATTCCGTCCCAGTGAGACGCATCTGCAGAGCTGTGTTCTCACCGCCCAGGTCAGAGCCGCGCAGAGCTGGCTGGGGCGGCTGCAGGCGCCAGTCACGGGGCCTCCGGTCTTCACACCTCATCTGTGCCGCCACAGCCAACAGGGTGAGGGTGGTTGTCCCCAGAGGGGCCTGCGGGGCCTGCTGGGTGCTGCGGCCAAGGGTGAGCTGTCACCGCCCAGGGCCAGCTGGAGGGGGGAGCCTGGAACCAGCTGCAGCTGGCGTGGCCCCCACCACAGCCCTCCCCAGCCCTGCTGCCTGCAGCCTGGCACACGAAGCCCCGCAGGCGGACCCTTGGTCCCCCCTCACCCCAACCTCCTCTCCTCATCACTCTTTGCCCGGGGCGGGGAGGGGGCTGAGGGCCAGGCCTAGCTGAGGGGCTGGACGGAGCACAGGACCCCAGGTGGCACACGAATCAGCTGAGGGGACTGAGCCAGCCCGGGGCCCCTCCCCGCCCCAGCCTGCTTTCGGGCAAGGCCGCCACCATTCTCTCGCCAGCCCAGTGCCTCCGGCAACAGGGACGGGGCCTGTGGGAATGGCCGCGTGTCTGTGTCCAGAGGCCCAGGGTCAGAGCCGGGCTCCGTCCAGTCCAGCTTCCCCGCCGGCGGCATGAGGGCGTGAGGGCTCTGCGTCCTGGGCGGGCAGCATGGCAGCCTTGGCTCCAGCCCCCTCGCCAACCCACCAGACACAGCTTCCTCCTTAGGGCACTGCGTCCTGGGCGGGCAGCAGGCTTGGTTTCCCCATGGAGGAGAGCAGTGCCCACCGCGCCGTCCCCACCCCAGCCGGCCGAGACGCCAGGCCCCCAGCCCCACTCATGGGTGTGGAGCTGCCAGGAGGCCCCGGGGGCCGCGAAGCCGGCTGCGTGGTGGACTCGAGGGCCCTGCCAGCATCCTGTCCGGAGCCCAGCGGCGCTGGCCCTCGGCCTGTTGGTCTTGGCCGGCCCAGAGGAAGCCACAGGCGCCCGGGCAGGCATGAAAGGGCTCTTTGACGCTGGGCTGCGGGGACAGAAACACAGACGGCCGGCCAGGCAGGGAGGACACAGGGAGCGTCCCTGAGACGGTAACGGGAGCGCGGAGCCTGGGGGTGGTTGTGGGGGTCCTCACAGCCGCCCTGGCCAGGCCGGGCTGAACCTGAGGAGCAGGATCCAGCCCCGACCGTCTGCCTGGCGGGGCCGGGTCTGGGAGGCTCGGGAACTCTGTGGGCACTCCTGCAGGCCTCTGTGTGGGGCAAGTGCTGCGGACATGCCCACTCCTGCCAGGCTCCCTCCACTGGAGGAGTCCAGGGGGGTCTTCTGGTCTCCAGTGGGGCCAGAAATTGAGTCAGGGTATGCTGAGCTGGTGAGGAGGCAGGCAGAGGGGATCTCGGCCGCCAGAGACATTCCACCCACCTGGAATGACCCACTGCAAGAGGAAGGACCTTGCTCTGCGCTGCAATCCCAAAGGGCTTCCTGAAGGAGGCAGCCTAAATCTTTGTCCAGCAGAGCCCGTGTTCAGGGAAGATGGAGGACCCCGATCCCAAGCACCTTCCCCCGCAGGAGATATTCCTGGCCAAGCCTCCAGATGTGGCCGTGGGGGGAGTGATGTGGGCAAGCCCTACCTGCCAGAGAGGGAAACTGAGACCAGGCTTGTCCTGGCAGGTGCTGGTTGAGCCAGGAGGGGGTCTGTCCAGGAGGACCAGGCTGGCTCTGGCTCCCCTTCGGCACCAAGGTTGGGGGCGGCCTCCCGAGGCCCCTGCAGGCCCTGTCCTGGGGCTCCGGCTATAAGCTCGCTGGGTCCGGTGAGGCAGGCCTGGCTGCAGCTGGGTCTCCTTGCGCTGCGCAGGGCCCCTTGCACCAGGCCAGCCTTGGGGGCCTTTCCCGGGAGCAGTGCAGCAGTCTGTGCCCCAGGGCTCTGCCCAGCCACAGCAGGTGGGGCCTTGGGTGGCCACCGCTCCTGAGTGTGGAAGGTGGCCTCGGACACCCCTGTGCCCATGACGGCTTCCCCTTCACCTGCCGGGTGCAGGGACCCAGCTTTGGGGACCAGGACTCCCGACTCCAGGTGTCCAGGGTGCCTGGTGCAGCCCAGAGCCTCAGCCTCGGCCTCACCTGCTGGGCCAGGACAAGCCATGCCCAGGCAGGAGCTCCCGCCCCCACCCCTATCTCCCCCAACGGGGGCACGGCCGGGCAGCTGCAGGGTCTGGGGGCTCCAGCTGGGATACCTCCTCCTCAGTCCCTCCCTCTCCCCTCTCCCCCAGCCCTGACCAAGATGGCAGCTCCCGCCCTGCTGCTCCTGGCACTGCTGCTGCCCACGGGGGCCTGGCCCGGGCTGCCCAGGAGGCCCTGTGTGAGCTGCTGCCGCCCGGCCTGGCCGCCTGGCCCCTACGCCCGGGCGAGTGACGGGGACCCGTGGTGGGGGCTTCCCCGAGTGCGGCCCACCATAGACATCGAAATCCTCAAAGGTGAGGCCTGTGGGGGTGATGCCTGCGTGGCTCCCCACCAGGGCCCAGCAGCCCAGAGGCAGTGGGGCCGGGACCTGGGGCTGGGGAGGAGGGACCAGGAGGGGCTCACTGAGCACGGGTCTCTGCCCTGGCCACGATCTCTGCCCAGGGACACTCCCAGTTCCCCCCCTGAAGCAGGAAGAAGCCTGGCTTGGGGAGGGACCCATGAACCAAAGTGGGGTGCTGAGGACCCTGAGGAAGGGGCCAGGGTTCCTGGGATCCCCAAACTGGCAGCACCTTGGGAAGGGAGAGTGGGCCACCCTGCTGCCTGAGACCCCACACCAGAGGCTGCACTGTCCTGAGGGCTGGACAGCAGGCTGTGCTGAGGTTAGACGTGGGTAAGAACTTCCCAGCTTCTCATTCTTTATTTAACACCCAACCCAGACCCTCTTCTGCAGCTGGCCCTGAGCACCCACGTCCCTGCCCTCCCCGTGGGGACCGCCCCAGCGCAGGCCTTGGCCCAGCCAAACCTTTGTAGCATGGCTTGTGGGCGTGGAGGCTGGGAGAGGGGAGGTCGCTTGCAGGGACTGTGTCCTTACAGTGACCCTGGAGCCCCAGCCCCTGGCCTGGGTGCCTGGAATGGGGGCGGCCGCCCCGCCCGGCCCCAACCCGCGGCTTCCGTTTGTCTTCTGCAGGTGAGAAGGGCGAGGCCGGGGTCCGAGGGCGTTCCGGCAGGAGCGGGAAGGAGGGGCCGCCGGGCTCCCCGGGCCTGCAGGGCCGCAAAGGCCAGAAGGGGCAGCTGGGGCCACCAGGCGCCCCGTGCCAGCGTGCCTACGCGGCCTTCTCCGTGGGCCGGCGCGAGGGCCTGCACAGCTCCCACGGCTTCCAGGCGGTGCCCTTCGACACGGAGCTGGTGAACCTGGACGGCGCCTTCGACCTGGCCGCGGGCCGCTTCCTCTGCGCGGTGCCCGGCGTCTACTTCCTCAGCCTCAACGTGCACACCTGGAACTCCAAGGAGACCTACCTGCACGTCATGTGGAACCGGCGGCCCGCGGCCGTGCTGTACGCGCAGCCCAGCGAGCGCAGCCTCATGCAGGCCCAGAGCCTGCTGCTGCCGCTGGCCGCGGGCGACACCGTCTGGGTGCGCATGTTCCGGCGTGACCAGGACAACGCCGTCTACGGCGAGCTCGGGGACCTCTACATCACCTTCAGCGGCCACCTGGTCAAGCCGGCCGCCGAGCCGTAGCCGGGAGAGGGCCCGCGGCTGGGCACGCTGCCCGTGTGCGGTGGAGGCAGCAGAGCTTAAGCACCAACTGTGTGCAGGGATTGAGTGGTTGTGTGCTGACTGTGTGCGGGGATTGCTTGAGTGCTGACTGTGTGCGGGGATTGCTTGAGTGCTGACTGTGTGCAGGGATTGAGTGGTTGTGTGCTGACTGTGTGCGGGGATTGCTTGAGTGCTGACAGTGTGCAGGGATTGAGTGGTTGTGTGCTGACTGTGTGTGGGGATTGCTTGAGTGCTGACTGTGTGCGGGGATTACTTGAGCGCTGACTGTGTGTGGGGATTGCTCGAGTGCTGACTGTGTGCGGGGATTGCTTGAGCGCTGTGTGCGGGGATTGCTTGAGCGCTGACTGTGTGCAGGGATTGAGTGGTTGTGTGCTGTGTGCGGGGATTGGTTGAGCGCTGACTGTGTGCGGGGATTGAGTGGTTGTGTGCTGTGTGCAGGGATTGCTTGAGTGCTGACTGTGTGTAGGGATTGGTTGAGTGCCCACTGTGTGCAGGGATTGGTTGAGTGCCCACTGTGTGCAGGGATTGGTTGAGTGCCCACTGTGTACAGGGATTGATTGAGTGCTGACTGTGCGCAGGGATTGGTTGAGCGCCCACTGTGTGCAGGGATTGATTGAGTGCTGACTGTGTGCAGGGATGGGTTGAGCACCCACTGTGTGTAGGGCTTCCTTGACTGCTGACTGTATACAGGGATTGAGTGGTTGAACGCCGACTGTGTGCAGTGATTGCTTAAGTGCTGACTCTGTGCAGGGATTGGTTGAGCACCCACTGTGTGCAGGGATGGATTGAGTGCTGACTGTGTGCAGGGATTGGTTGAGTGCTGTGTGCAGGGATTGATCGAGTGCTGACTCTGTGCAGGGATTGGTTGAGCACCCACTGTGTGCAGGGATTGGTTGAGCACCCAGTGTGCAGGGATGGATTGAGCGCCCACTGTGTGCAGGTACTGAGCCATGTGGAGCTCTCGGTGTGGCGGGAGCAAGTCTGCAGCCTGCACCTGGCCTCACAGGGGCTGGCACCCAGGAAGGCACCACACGAAGCCGCATGGACAAAGGCCTGTGTGCTGGGTGTGCGCTGGGTGGGGCCGGTGCCTCCGCATGGGTTGGCGGGAGGCTGGTCGCTCACCCAGGTGCTCGCCCTCACGGCTGAGGGGCCGTTCTGCTCATGAGGCTGTGCCAGGAACCCTGCCATGGAGACACTCATTATTTGCCGAGCACCCGGCTGGTGTGGCTGGGCCCGGGAGGCTGAGAGGGCGGAAGGGAGACGGGACTCCGGGCGGCGCTGGGGGCAGCCAGCACTCACGGTGGACGGGCGGGTGGGGCTGGCCAGGTGGAGGCTTGTCCTTGGCAGGAAACACACAGCTGAGTGAATGGGGGCCAGGTTTTGAGGCTCACGGGGTCCCCTAGTCTGTGTGAAGTGGGCAGGGGCTGGAGGAAGCTTGGACCCTGGTGAGCACCAGAGCCTGGGGAGCCTCCGACCCCTACGGAGCCGCCTCATGCTTAGACAGGGCTGAAAGGTGGGTCCACGTGGCTGCGCCGCGGTGGTGAGGGCCCCATTTGGGAATGTGGGTGCGCGGGTCCCACCAGGCAAGAGGCTGGCCTAGCTCCCGCCACTGGAAGCTTCTGTAAGCCTCACCAGCTGGAGCAACTGCGGCCCCTCCCGGGAGCTCTCCCAGCCACGTGCCTACGTGTCTCCAGAACCACCTGGACCAGGCCCGGCCTCCCCGCCTCTTCCCCGCCGCCGCCTCCTCCTTAGTCCGCTGTCTGTGGCAGCGTGGACCCTGGTCCTGGCTGAGCAGCATCCAGAGTCACCGGGACTCAGCCATGCTGGGCTGAAACCCTTGAAAGGCCCTCCATGAAGTCCCCCCGGGTGGGGGCAGGAGAACCCCCACAGATGCACCCAGAGTGGGCTTGCAGGGGGCTGGTGGGCACTGAACAGATGCAGCGCCCCAGGTGCCCCCACAGCCCCTCGGTCCTTGTCCACCCGGGGACGTCCTGGACCACGGTGTGCCCGGCTTGCCCATCTCCCTCGACAGCCTGCCCCGCCCCCACTCCCTCCTCGCAGGGGCCCCCACTTGTCCAGACCAATCCCTGAGCAGCTGGGCCCACAGCCTGGCCCAGGAGGGTCTGCGAGGAGACAGCCCCTCACATCAGGGTGCACCCCGCGGGGGGGCCCAGCCGAGGAGGGAGATAGGCTGGCAGGGGCTGCGGGCCCCAGGCAGGGGAGGCTTGTCTGTCGGTCTGCATGCAGTGCCTGGGTAGGAGGAAGCCGGGGGACAGCTGGGAACAGGGATCCTCCCAGTCACCATGGGGCCCCAGCCTGAGGGCCTGCTCCGTCACCCCCATCACCCACCGCCAGACCAGGCCCGGGGGTGACAGGCAGTGGGGGTGAGGCACAGGAACCTGGGGAGGAGGGGGAAGGGTGGCAGAAGTTGGGGGTCAGGGCCATCCCCCAATGTAGCCTGCCCTTCCCGAAGGTGGGGCTGGGAGGCCCGGTGTTTTCCTGTGGAGGTTCAGGGTTAGGGTTACGGTTAGGATTTGAGTTTTCTTGTGAAGACTCTGGACTCCCAGCCCCATCCTCGGGAAGTGCCGTTCCTTCCTTACAGACAGACGTCCACCCGTGGGGACCCTGGGAGCCCTGGCTGGCTCCCCCGCCCCTAAGTCTCACCTCATTCCTGTCCTGGGTGCCCTGCCCTTGTAGGTGGAGCACCAAGGCCCGGCCAGAACCCACAGAACCCACGTGCGTGTGCTAGGAGCCGCCCCCCGGGCAGGCAGGGACAGTACAGTACAGCAGGGGTGGCCTGGGCAGGTACGGGGGACCCCCACTGCCTGTGTACGTACGGCCCCCTGCAGGGGGAGGGGCTCTGTCCCAGCCGCCCACCCCTGCCCACTGCCCAAGCCTGCCGCCTCTCAGGTGCCATGGGCCGGCATCCACCTCTCTCCTGAGGCTGTCGCTGGGCCAGGCTGCCCCGAAGCACCCCAAGGTGGCCCGTATCAAGTCCCACCTTGTGTGTCTGCAGGGGGCGGCTGCAGGTCTCCTGGGGGTTGGTGACAGCCAAGGACAGGAGGGGCTGGGCTGGTGGGGGGCTGGTGGACCCTGGGCCTGCTAGAGGGGTCTGGAGGGCACTGGAGCTGGGGCTGGACCCGCCCCCTCCCCTCACCCCACACGGAGGTGGGCGGGGCCTCAGGCTGCACTTTGGCCTCAGGCCGAGTCCCCTCCTGGCTGGTAGAGCAGGACACACCCAGGGTGCCCGGCAACCATCAGGGGTGGGCGCTGTCTCTGGGTGCTCTTGGGGCCTTGGCACAGAGGCTTCTGCCCTAGAGATAAAGGCACCAGAACAGGAAGGCGCGGGCCGAGGGGAGGTGGGATGTCCCCCAGGCCTCCCCCGTGTGCTGAGGGCCAGTGGCACTGCGAGAGTCCGGTCCTGGCTGCAGCCGCAGGGCGTCCTCAGCACTCCGGAGAGCCCGCTGGCCCTGCTCACTCAGCCCCTTCCGCAGTGAGGATGCCCAGAGCCACGTCCTGCCCACCCCACACCGAGCCCATGTCCCTGCCAGCTCTGCCAGTGGCCTCAGCTTCCCATCCAGCAGGGGGGTGCAAAAGCCTCTGTTGGGGACCCTGGAGCAGCTGTGAGGGGCCCTGGGCCTGCGGGTTCAAAGCAGCACTGGCCGGAGCCGGCCCTGGGCGTCCGTGCCCTGGAGGACGGCTGCACAGCACTGGGGGTTCCTGCTTGGAACCCCCAGGATCTGCTGGGGTCGAGTGTGGCAGGTGCTTGAAGAATCAGAGGTGGGGGTATGCGCTGCTGGGGGTGGGGTTACGGCTGGCCATGCAGAGGCTCTTGGCCCCGGTGAGACAGCAGGGCCGAGTGGGAGACAGTGGGAGCCAGGTGTCCCGACCACCCAGGCAGGTCGCATCGGGGAAGCCCCCAGAATCCCAGACAACAGTTTCCTTCCTTGGCCCTGGCCTGGCTGCCCTGGGGTCTGCAGCCTCCGTGATTCCAGACAGACTGCTGCTAGGGGGGCAGGTGGCCCTGAAGAAGACAGTCCCGAGAAGACGCCCGCCCCTGCTCCAGGGAGCCCAGAAAGTACCCGTCAGCAGGCCCAGCCAAGGACCCCGAGGTGACCACACCAGGCCCGAGGCCAGGAGCCCATTCTGAGGGCATGGCTGGGCCTCCCAGAACAGACATCACCATGGGCCACGAGCGATGGCAGGCGTGGGTACAAAGATGCCTGCCGCGGGGGCAGGCGGGGAGGGGTGCCAGGGCTGTGGCAGCAGGCAGCGGGGGGCGGCTAACCCACGCCAGTGGCGACCCAGGTTCTGGGAGAGCCGGGTGGGGAGATGCCCGCGAGAGCTTCAGACGGCAGAACCTGTATCCCTGTGACCGTCCAGGTTTATTTCTTCACAAAACAATGACACAGAACTGAAGGGAGACGAGAAGGTCACGATTCTCTGCCAAGTGATCAAAGCCAGAGGGACGCGCCAGTGCTGGGCGGGCACAATAAGAGGGACGCTTGGTACAGGCCAGAGACACGAGAAGCAGCCACAGCCTCATGCTGCCCGGGCCACGGAGAAGGTAGGAGGGAGCCGGCCTGTCGGAGCCCCCGTGGCCGCCTGCACCGGCTTCGATCACGAGTCAGCTGCAGAGGAAGGACCTGGGGGACACGGCTTCCCGAGGGGACATCCCTGTGACCTTCTGGGCGAGCGTCTGGCTGGGGAGGCAACTTAGCCCATGTGGGTTTATCCGTTTAGTGGAATTCCAGTAAAAGTCCAATTGTAAATATTTAGGTGAAATTCATATAACGTAGAATTTAGCACTGGAGAGCGAACGGTGAGTCCCCAGCACGACGCATTCCCGGCACTCTGCAGCCACCACCTCCGTCTAGCTCCAGCCCCCAAAAGGAATGTGCACCCTCAGCCGTCGCTCCCACTCCTGTCCATCCCCTGGCAGCGCTGTTCCTCTCTGGGTCTGCAAACTCCCGTGTTCTGGGCGTTTCATGGAAATGGAATCACACACAGGCTCTTCGG